ATTGGATGGTTTCTTTTGTTGTTGAAACATTTCATCTTTCAACCAAAGGACTTAGTCTGAGGAGCCGCAACAAACAGTCCCACAAGCAGCACACCCACACAGAGGGCTAACTAGTTTGCTTGTGATAAGATGGTTTCTCAAGTCCGCCCTCTCCCCCGTCGAGTCCTCTGACGCAGCCATAGCCAAAGTGGTTCAAACATCAAAGTTCATGCTCAATAATCCAGGTAAGCTACTTTGTTATGTTTGTGAGTTTTTTGTGGCTCCTTGGACTGATGAAGCCCTTTGGATGAAGGAAGAAATGTTTCAACTGCCTGATTCAGCAAAAAATTAGCTCTCTCCACTTCCTTCTGGTGAGTTAAGTTTCTTTCTGCCTTTTAAGCTACTTTTCAGCTGTTTTTTTTTTTGTTGTTGTTAACGTCAGCTTCTTTCAGATAATTTCCACGTTTTTGTGCTTATTTCTGTTTCTTTCATCCTAATTGTGCAAACAAATGTTCTTTCTGCTTTCTTATGCTAATTTAAGCTTGTTCTACCTTTTCAGCTACTTGTAAGATTTTTTTTTTAGCAAATTTCAGCCTTTTTCAGAGAAATTCAAGTTTTTCTTGGTAATTTTTGCTACTTGCAGCCTAAATAACTTCTTCCAGCTAATTTCAGGTTGTTATGCTCCTTTCAGCTTTTTCTGCTATTTCAGCTACTATTTAGCTGTTTTTATGCAAACATGAGTTTTTTTCAGCTAATTCCACATTGTTTAAGCTCATTTCAGCTCTTTCCACTTCCTTCTCATAGGTTAACCTTCTGTCTGCATTTCTGGCTACTTTTTAATGTTTTTTGCTAGTTTTAGTTTTTTAGCTGATTTCCTAATTTTTGAGCAAATTTCTGCTTATTTAAACCCAATTCAGCAAATATGTGTTCTTTTTGATTTCTTTTGTTAATTTAGGCTTATTCTTTCATTTCAGCTAAATTACAGTAGTCTCTTGCTACTTTGCGGTTCGTTTTTCGTGGACTCGCCCTATCGCAGTTTTTCAAAGTAAGATTGGACATGATACAACTGGCTGATTGATGGATGAGCCACATGATCAGCATGGAATTTTTATTTAAAATAAATTATTTTAAATTATTTAACACATGTGTACAGCCCACAGCTGCAGGAGAAGCTCCCTCCTGCAGCTGATCATCTGATTTTCACTCTGCAGCAGAGAAGTGGGCGTGGCCAAGAGCTCTGGCAGGTGGCAGAGTGGCTGAGACAGAGAGATGAGTTCATGACATTCAGTGCTCTTTTAGAGCGTTTAGAGTATCGAAACATTGTGTAGAATATTGCAAGAGTGTGATGGGTTTAAAATAAAACACCTTTATATATATATATATATATATATATATATATATATATATATATATATATTTATATATACTGCTACTTACTACTTGTACTACTATTCCTACGTAGCGGTTGTTCACTTATTGCAGGCCTTCAGGGTACAGATCCCCCGCGATATTTTTCTTTTTTTTTCATTTAGCCTTTATTTATCCAGGTTAGTCTCATTGAGCCACGAGAACTCATTTTCAAGAGAGACCTGTGATATACGAGGGAGTACTGTATGTACTGTACAGCATGTTTTGTTTTGTTAGTTTTTTTTAGCTAATTTCAGTTATTTTTCAGCAATAAACATTCACACTGCATTTTCGCAGGAAATACAATTCCTCTAGTTCTCATTATCATCAAGTTCACTCAGCACAGTGTTTCTCATCAACTTGTCTTAAATGTATTCCAATACAATTCTGGATTTGAGAGAGAGATCACATCGTAAGGACTGGAAGTCAGATTAAAGAAGTGGCTAACACACTACTAGAATGTGTAGCCAACATGTTGTACTCTTTGTATTTGTACTATCATTCACATATTTGAAAATGACAGGAAAACAGATAAAAGTAGTCCTTTTTGTTGTTGGTGTTAAAACCAATAAAGTTCAGTTTTGTGTTAGTTTTGGTCAAATTTCGACAGAGCAGAAGACCACAGGGCCACGTGTGGCCCCTGAACCGCAGCTTGCAGACCCCTGCACTACACTGCAGTTGTGGAGACTAAATGTTTCTGCATGCGGCTGACATTTTATTATTTTTTTTTACCTGTGTGGATGGTGAGCTCAGCCTTGCAGGAGATGGAACCTGCCACGTTCTTCCCGGTGCAAGTGTACACTCCAGAGTGTTTGGGCTGAGCGTTCAGGACCACGAGGGAGTATTCCGGGTCGTCGTACACGAAGGTGAAGTGACTGCTCTCAGAGAGAAGGACTTCATCCTGAAACAGACCAATCCCAACAAAACAAAAATCAGTATCAATGTTTATCTCCCACCATTATTCGTGCTAGAGATTAAGACTAAAACCATCTTGTGAACGATGTCTGCATTCCCTAGGCTCCACTTTTAGATGATTTAGATCTCGTCAGTCCTAGACAGACCAACGATCTACCTGCAGCTTTTGTCACTAAAACCACAGCTGGACCACCTCACTGGAATAAAAACTTGGATGACTTAAAACCTCATTGATTTCAATAAGATTTAAACTGAAGCTCTTATTTTTGGCCCCAGTGCAAACGAGAGCTGGTCAGTTCCTGATTCACCTGGGTTAAAGAGTCCCCACGCTGAATCAGGACCCACAAATCCAAGTCAAGTCAAGTCAAGTCATATTTATTTATAGAGCACAATTTAAAACAGATACACTGTTATCAAAGTGCTTAACACTAAGGGTAACACTAAGAAATAAAAAGCAGTAAGAATATACCTTAAAAAATTAAAACAACAGCATTAAAATGAAGACATGGAACAAGATATACTAAATCAACTCACACAGTATGAAACGCCAGAGAGAACAGATATGTTTTTAGCAGGTATTTGAACACAGGAAGGAAGGTGGCATGCCTATTGTTGGGGGGTAGGTTGTTCCACAGTTTGGGACCCATGACTGAAAACGCCCGATCTCCTCAGAGCTTCAGTCGTGTTTTTGGAACAACCAAAAGCAGCTGATCGGATGATCTCAGAGCCCGAGAGGGAACATATGGTTCCAGTAGCTCAGAGAGGTAGATGGGTGCGAGGCCATTTAGGCACTTATAGGTCAGGAGGAGAATTTTGAAATCAATCCTAGTTCTCACAGGAAGCCAGTGTAGGGAGGACAGAACTGGTGTGATGTGCTCATACCTCGGTGTACCGGTTAAAAGCCGAGCTGCAGCATTCTGGACGAGCTGTAGCCGTGAGATAGAGGCCTGGCTGACCCCAGCATACAGTGAATTACAATAGTCCAGGCGGGTTGTGATGAATGCATGGACTAGTGTCTCAATGTTGGGTCTAGACAGCACTGGCTTGAGCTTAGCTACCTGCCGCAGTTGGATTACAAATCCAAGGTCTAAATTAACCCGGACCCGCAGCATGAACCACTCAAGTGAACCGGTAACCAAATCAAATTAACTTGAATCCATAAAGTGACTCAGATTTACCAGCTCTAGTACAAACCTCTAATCGCTAATTTCAGCATTTCTTGCTATTTCAGCTACTATTTAGCTGTTTTATGCTAATTTCAGCTTCTTTCAGATAATTTCCACTGTTTTGTGCTCATTTCTGCTTCTTTCAACCTAATTGGGCAAACGTGTTCTTTTGCTTTCTTCTGCTAACTTAAGCTTCTTCTATATTTTCAGTTACCTTTTCAGCACATTTTTAGCTAATTTCAGCTGTTTTCAGATAAATTCAAGTTTTTCCATGGTAATTATTTGCTACTTTCAACCTAATTAACTTCTTAATGGTCATTTCAGCTTGTTATGCACCTTTCAGTCCTTTTTATGCTAGTTTTGGCTTTTCCCTGCTATTTCAGCTACTATTTAGCAGTTTTATGCTAATTTTAGCTTTTTCAGCTAATAACACAAATTTTTAGCTCAGTCCAACTCTCTCCACTCCCTTCTGGTAGTTTAAGCTTCTTTGTACCTGATTCTGCTAATTTCAGCATTTCTTGCTATTTCAGCTACTATTTAGTTGTTTTATGCTAATTTCAGCTTCTTTCAGATAATTTCCACTGTTTTCTCTGAGTCCCAGAGGAACAGATTTAACTTTTTTAGATTTTTCTACCTGGATTATTGAGCATGCATCAGGATATAAGACAGACAGGTTCCCATGTTCCTGTCTGAACTCCTGCAGCCTTATGTGCTCTCCAAATCCCTGAGGTCTAATGACCATTTGGTTTTTTTTGGTTGTCCTGGGGTCCAGGCTGGTCCACAGAGGTCAGTGTTCCCCCTACCATTATAAAAACAAGGCACCCTGCCCAGAGCATGCTGCCTACCGAACCAAACCCCCACCCCAGTCGACAACTGCCAGCACAGACGTAGCGCTAAGCTAGCAGCGTGCAATAGAGACATGCTAGCTAAAAAGCTAGAAAGGTAGCGCACCGTTTCCCTCATGCTGAGCCGTCTACCTCCTCCGTTGTTTTTAAAGCTAATCTTAAAAAACATCTGTACTCACGGGCTTTTAGCACAGCATAAGCTAATTTTTTTGCAGTTAGTGTTTCATTTTTGTTGCATTTTTTCAAAGGTTTAATTTTTTGTCTGATAATTGATTTATTTTTGCTGTTTTTATTTTTGTTTGTTTATTGTCTCCTATGTTTTGTGTTGCATTTTTACTATTTGGTGTACAAATGAATTTGATTTGGTCTTGAGCTTTAGCCGTTTTGGACAAACCTGGAAAATAACTTCAAGTCTTTTGGTCGTAGATGTACAAACAGTGATTACTCTGCAAATTCCATTAAAATCTGTCCAGTGGTTCATAAGATATTTTGATAATACATAGCGCTTTAGCAAAAACCTTATCTTATCGCACACCTTTTTTTATCTTTTGGCAGCAGATGCTAAAAAAAAACTCTGAATGTGATGAGGTTTAGACCAACGTAATAGTTTGCATTCTCTTGAAGAAAATACCTTAAACCACAAAATGTCCGGATCCGGTTTTCCTTCAACCACAACAGCCAGACAAGTTGTTTGCCCAACCTGCACATCCACATCCTCCATGATGCTTTCAAATTTTGGTGCAACTGCAGAAAAAGAGGATTTATATTTATAATAACGGATAAAATTCCAAACAGATTTGGCCTTTCTCACTAAGATGGTAAATTTATCACGGAACATCCTGCGTGAACCTACCTGCCATGGTCAGCTGAAGTGTGCAGAGGTCACTGCCAAACTGGTTGCTTGCCGTGACCACCAGCTGACCAACGTCAGTGCTCTTGACCCGCTGGAGCCGCAGGGTGTGCTGATCGTCGTCTGGCATGCTCATCTCATAGGTTCCTGGTTTGCTGACCAACACCACCCCTCTCCTGAGGAAAACCCAGACAATGCAGGACAAAGGATTCATCTGACAAGAAACTGAACTATTTTTGTAACGTTTACTACAGAAATCTGTGGTTTGAAGTTAAGAACTCACTTTTTCCAGGTGATGGCTGCATGCACATGGTTCAAGGTGATGGTGATGTTTGCTGGCTGGTTTTCCACCAAGTAAACAATGTCAGGTTTGTCCAAAATAACTGGGGCTTTCTTTAAATATGGTCCTGAAGAAGTTAAAAGAATCACATATTCAAACGTCTTACTTTACGCCAGCAGAATTAGTCTTGCACTGTCTCTATACCTCTGTCCAGCAACTGGACCAGATCAGTGGAGGGTGACGGTTTACTCAACGTCTTCCCGGTCGATGTCAACACTCTGAAAGCATAACGGACTCCCTTGGACAGGGAGGTGATGGTGTGATTTGTCTCCTTCAAGTTGGAAGCCACAACAGACCACTGGATGGAGCCCAGAGGCTGCTGCTGGACCACGTAAAGCAAGGAGCTGGAATCTGAAAGTACAGTGATGTTAGACTATGGAGATAAATTATTCTCAAAAATAGTCACACAACAAGATTTGTAGCATTATTTTTTGTGAATCTGGAGCAGTAAGAAAGTCTCAAAAGTCACATTCACAGGCAAGCTGATCCATGTGCAGCAGGTGATTTGTGTATTTGACAATTTGTATGCACAGAATACTCCTATGTGCAATTTAAAATGTGTACAATTGAAAAACTGTTTATGCATTTGTGAATCTTGTGGTATGCTTGTGGATCATATTGCACTCATACGAATTGTGTGACTACCTGAGACTAATTTATCTTCATCTGCTCCCTAAAACAGGTCTCTCTTGAAAATGAGTTCTTGTGACTCAATGAGACTACCTGGATAAATGAAGGGTAAATGAATCTTCATAGACAACCTCGTCTGAGTGGAAACTAAAGAAAATGATTGGTCTTGTTTTTAGGGCTGACAAGACGTGGTATGCCAGGAGAAGTTAAAAACTTTCCTAAAATAAGTATCTGGGACATGCATGCTATAAATAGTTTTCTCTTTTCTTGAAGAAATTAAGTGAAACATCAAAACTATAGGCACAGAAACAGAATGACAAACTCACCAAATGAAGGGTCAAGCCTCTTTGGTAGCTTCCAGCTAAGGGTTATAGTTTTCCCTGTGATGGCCTCGATGACGGGGGGACCATCAGGAGGGTCTGGAACAATGTCTTTTTCAAAATATATACATAATATATTAGGAAAATATGGCATTATTTCACATACATCTCCAAACTGCATACATGTACTGTACATGAATCATTACCTGTTACATAGAGGTGAGCATAGCAGGCTGATTTGCCCACTTTGTTTGAGATTACAGCCTTGTAGACGCCACCATGAGTGTGACACGTACTTTTAATGACCAGACTGTGGACATCCCTGTCTGATGAACACACATAATTTTTTTTATTTACAGCCATACCACCTCGAAGAAAGGCTTTGCGTTCCAATTATTTTTTTCTTACACTGAGTCATTGTGCGCTCCTCGCTACTTTCGATACGTTTTCCATTATGGTACCAGGAGATGGTTGGGTACGGAAAGCCTTCCACTTTGCATTTCAGCACTGCTTCCTTCCCTTCGATCACCTCCATATCAGCCAGAGGTTTGATAAAGTCTGGCATGGTCCTCCTCTCCAACTCATTTTCAAGAACTTCAGGTTCCTCGGGGATGGATGGCATCTTCTCTAACTTGGCCCTTGGAGAAGACCAACAAAGTTCAAAATGAGTTTGCTTTGGTACTGCTTTAAAAAAAGATATCTGCCTAGTTGGAACAGTAGACCTGACTCACTCTCTCTCTCTCTCTCTCTCTCTCTCTCTCTCTCTCTCTCTCTCTCTCTCTCTCTATCCATCCATCCATCCATGAGACCATTCACAATTTTCAACATTTTCACAAGCATACAGAATGTACTCTTCTTGGAGACCCCCCTCAAAAGCATAAAGGAAAATATTGATATTTGGGGAAGTTATGCAATGCTAAGCAAAGCTAAGCTAAGCTAGCATCATGACAAGGTCGCTTGTGTGTGACATTGTTCTTAATAAAACATATGTGTGTACGTTTGCCCTCATATAGGAAGCATTTCCCCCTTATACATACTGGGAACAACCTCTGACTCATGGTGTCAGCTTAAAGCCAACAACAGAGACCAGCATTAATGCCAAGCCAAACCTGAACAATTAACAAGAACAACCCATTTCCAGAAAATGGTGGATTGCTTTCTTGAAGGGTGAGGTTCTGCCTCAAGTGGAGGAGTTTAAGTAACTTGAAGTATTGTTCACAAGTGAGGGAAGAATGGCGCATGAGAAGGGCAGACGGATTGGTGCAGTGTCTGCAGTATTGCAGACTTTGTGCTGGTCCGTTGTAGTGAAGAGGAAGCTGGGTTGTAAGGTAAAGCTCTCTGTTTACCGGTCGGTCTACGTTCCTACTCTCACCTATGGCCACAAATCTGGTAAGGATGCTTCCTGGGCTTCGTGTTTCGAGCATGTCTTACTGGGAGGAGACCCCGGGGAAGACCCAGGACATGCTGGAGAGACTATGTCTCTTGGTTGGCCTGGGAACACCTTGGGGTCCTCCCAGAAGAGCTGGAAGAGGTGGCTGCGGAAAGACATGTCTGGGCCTCCCAACTCAGGTTGCTGCTGACCCCATGACCCGACTTCAGAATAAGCAGAAGATAATGAATAGATGGATGGATGGATGGATGGATAGATAGATGGATGGATGGATGAATGGAACCCATTTCCCACTGAGAAACTTTGTAAACAGTCAGAAATATTGCACACATAATTGCCACAAGGTGACATCATCCGTTGCAGCTCATGCAGTCTATATAGGACATTACAATATTGTACTAAGGTAAAATTATTATCATTTCATATTTGTACACATCTAAAAGTGATTTAAAATGCACAGAAATAGACATGTAGATACTGTATTTATGATAAACTACACACACCTGAAACTGACTCTCTCACAGAAAGAACTTTTGTGGGGAAAATAAATTTAAGTTAAACTGAGGCAAGCATCTTTTCTGTAATCTGGAGCATATAAATAGTTGTCTTTTAGTGTTAATATTGTTTAATTATAAAAATTAAAACATCAGAAACACAAGTCAAAAGGCTGTGCACTCTCTCTCTCTGTCTCTCTCTCTCCCACAATGTGATGCGTTCTGTCACCCAGGGCGTTATCGGTGGCAGCTGTGCACATGCATACAGTCACAATATGTGTCAGAGACAGCCTTCCTCTAATGGACGATGTGTGAAGCAAACAAACAAAATCTGCTGAGCTGTTGTCCAGTAATGTGAGTAACAAACATATTTATTACCAAGAGAATATTGATGATCATCCACAGCAACTTTGTAGTTAGTTTAAAAATAGTTAACCATAAAGAGGATTGTTAAGTGAGTTAATTCATTATAGTAAATGACATGAGGGAGGCGTCCAACATAAATTGAATACATCGCTCTCCATCAACACAGTTGAGTTTTGCTCCACCTCTTTTGGGTCTGCTCACAGCTCACATCTGAGCCGGATGAGGACGCTTCACCTGTGATTTATGAACCGTTAGAGGAAGGACTGCTCTGTGAAGCCATTTTGTGGAACTGTCTATGCATGTTAGGCTGATTGGTAACTCTAAATTGTCCCTAGGTGTGAGTAAGAGAGTGAATGGTTGTTGGTCTTGTTTGTCTCTATGTGTCCCTGTGATGGACTGGAGACCTATCATGAGTGTACCCCATCTCTCACACAGTGATGGATGGACATGGGCACCAGTTACCTCTATGACCCGAAAAGGAAGAAGCGGGTAAAGTGTCCTGTTTTTGCCCCCTCATGCCATAGTTCCTGTTTATCCTTGCCATAGTTCATGTCTTCATGTTTTGTTTTTCCTGCTTCATGCTTTGCTGCTGCCATTCTTCACTATGCCCACTCTGTTCCTCCAATGCAATCAGCCCTTATTCCATGCACCTGTTCAGCTCACTATTTAAGCTCCTGTCACTCACTCACTTGTTGCCAGATTATCGAATACTTTGTGTTAGTAGATGTCCAGCATCCATGCCATAGCCTTGCCTGTCTCTCCTGGTTTGACCCCATGCCTGTCTTCTGGTTTCCTCACCTTGCCTAATCCTTGCTTGTTCTGGACTCTGCCTTCTGACCACGGTACTGACTTTATGATTATTATGACCACGTTTTTTGGCTCACGCTTTGGATTTGGATCTCTGCCCAGCAGTTCTCGACCCAAGCCTGTCTTACTGTACCTCACCCCTGGACAACCCTTAAAATCTTATTGCTCTCTGCTGCTACATACTCAGCTTGTGATGTCAGCTTCCTCCACCATCACAAGGATTACCTCTCTTACTTGACTGTGAAGGTTAGTGACTCTCAATATTTTTATCCTCTGAACCTTCACAGTCCTGCCAAGTTCACTGACTCTCCTATCTCTGAAGAATAGAATAGAATAGAATAGAATAGAATAGAATAGAATAGAAACAGCCTTTATTGTCCCACGGATGGGAAATTCAAGTGTAACAGCAGCAACAGGAAAAAAAGATAAAAATATTTCACACAAAAGTTCCTAAATGTTAATAAACAATTAAATATATAAGAAATAAGATAAACAATATCAATAATAATGTTCAATATGTATTGGAACTTTGAGAATGGCAGACTATTTACAATACAGTAGTATAGGCAGAGTGTGTGTTTTAGCAGAGGTCAGCATGTATTTAATCTTTATTGAGTTTGTTGGGAGCAGTGATGGTTGTAGAGTCTAACAGCTGCTGGGAGGAAGGACCTGCGGTAACGCTCCTTTGTGCATTTAGGATGCAGTAATCTGTCACTGAACGAGCTCTCCAGTTCAGCAACAGCTTCATGCATGGGGTGAGAGACATTGTCCAGCAATCATGTTATTTTAGCTAGAGTCCTTCTGTCTCCCACCACCTGCACTGGGTCGAGGGGGCATCCAAGCACTGAGCTGGCCTTCTTGATGGACCCATGTCCAGAACTAGACCCACACCAACTGCAAATTATCAGTAAATCATTTTAACCATTCCTGGTGTTCAGTGTCATGCACGAATCCTCATACCCAATCTTGTTATAAAGATATTTGATGGATGGTAAATGGACTGTACTTATATAACGCCTTTCTATCTGATCAAGACACTCAAAGCTCTTTACAGTACAATCTGTGTCCTCATTTACCCATTCATACAGCACTCTGCTAGATCTCTACAAAGCTAATTGAACAAATTATTCTAAATAGACTAATCAGTGCTTCAGATCACATTCATACACCGATGGGACACACATCGGAGACATCAAGGTGTTCAGTGTCTTGCCCTGAGACACTTTGTTATGTGACTGCTGGTGGATTCGAACCCCCAACTCTTGCATTGGAGGACGACTGCTCTAACCACTCAGCCACAGCTGCCCATGGATGGATGGATGTCTTGAATGGGCCTAGTATTTGACATGTAAGAGAATAGCAACATGTTGGTCATTTAGGGTGTATCAAAAACTGTCAACATTTTTTTAAGTGTGTCGTTTCGAGCCATTTATTGTGCATAAGGACTATAAAAAATATAACTTTATTGTCACATGCCTTGACTCCTTGTGTTTTATTCTCCACTATAACTGATGCACGTCGTCACACTGACGCCATACATATTAGTTCTGACGCTAACGCTAAAGCTGAGTCATTTCTCCATTCTCATCTGTCAACATACGCCGGTTCAAATAAAGGGTTGAACGTCAGATAATTTCAAAAATTACCATTCGTGCTGAATGAAACTTGTTCTGACAACCTGTCATTAACCCAGAATGTATGAATAAAATGGTGACGTTTGTGTGTCAGTAATATTTTTTTCAATTATAAAAATTAAACATCTTATAATATAGTATAGTTGAAGTAATTGAAAAGGTAAAATAAGGTCAGTTGGTACAACTAGTCTGAGATCTCTTTGAGAAATCTTTTAAAATGACACAACTCATCTTACATGTGAGAAGAGATTGCAGCTCTGGGTTCTTGGACATACAGCTCAGCAGTACATTCAGACCTTCCATTAACGTTCTGAGCGATTGCTGTGTAAAAGCCTTCTGTGTCGCTGCTAACGTGGGCGATGACAAGTGAGTGACGACCCCCCTCTTGAAAAATGCGAACATTATCGCTCTCCTCCACTCGTGTCTCTGGAAGAACATTTGCAAGAGGAAAAAAAGTCCTTCTTAGGAGTGTTGTGTTGTCTAAGGTTGTTTTAGGAACATCATTGTGACGCGTCTTACCAAAGTGCATCCATGTGAGTCTCGGAGCAGGTGATCCGCTCACCTTACAGTCGAACCGTGCAGTGCGTCCTTCGATCACTTCCAGGATGTCCAGTTTACGAGTGAACAGGGGCTCCCTGGAAGGAGTGACTCTCAGGTTTGCACTTGAAGTCAGCTCCTCTGTAAAGACAAAATCTGCTTCAGAATTGTTTTCTTCTGAAGACCTTTTGAAATCAGAACTGCTTTTACTGCAAATCCCTTCAAAAATGAAGTTTACATTTCACCTGTGGCAGTGCTCAGCTTGCAAGTGTACATTCCACTGTCATCCTCATGGACTGAATTCAGCATGAGGTGGCACCTATCAGACATAAAAAAAGAAGTAAACAATAAAATAAAAAGAACAGAAAAACCCACCTAAAAATATATTGAAATATCATCAATATAAAGGTTAAAAGTAAGTTTGTTGTTGCCTTTCATGTCATGATCACTGAAAACATCCTTGTGTCCAGTCTTATGCACAAGATGTCTCACTCAGAGTACCTGCTGTGTACCTGATGATTCAGATCTTCTGAAGTGTGGCTCTGTAGAGGCGTTATAATCAATTATTTTCTTACTTTTTGTAGATACATCTTTAAATGACCTCAGTTCAAAGGAACTGTTTAATTCCGACTGGATTAATATGCTAATGGCTATCTAACAAAGTTAAGTCAGGTCCTCTGGATGGATTCTTCTTTGTTGATATGTTTTGTCTTCAGTTTGAGAAAGGTGTAAAGGAAGCCATCTTTGTGAAGAGAACCTGTCCATTGTTGAACAGGGTGGAGGCCCCCGTGTTCAACTGTCCCCATCTTACCAACAAAGTTCATGCTCAATAATCCAGGTAAAAATCCAGCAATGTTCATTCAGGTCATCTGGACATTTCTGTTTTCACTGGGACCTTTAGTCCTTCATCCAAAGAACTTCTTCAATCTGAGGAGCCACCAACAAACTGAGTCCCACCAACAGCACACTAGCATAGTGGAAAAAAACAGTTTGCTGGTGATAAGATGACCTCTGGGGACTGCCTTCTCCCCCATCAACTCCTCTGAGACAGTTGTGTCAAAATGGTTCAAAACAACAAAGTTAATGCTCAGTAATAATAATAATAATAATGTAATCACTGTATGTTTCCATACAATGGTGAAATTAGTCTCTGCATTTAACCCATCCACCACCAGGTAGTGCAGTGGACAGCTATTGAAGGTGCCCAGGGGGCATTTTGGGGATGAGGTGTGCTGCCCAGAGACACCAGGAGGTGTGCAGTGACCGGGGATTGAACCTGGGACTTTCGTGTACCGGGCCGGCTGCCCTGCCTCTACACCATCTTGGTCCCCATAATCCAGGTCCTCCTCTTACAATGCTGTTATTGCTAGTATCATTCAGTCCTCTATGAATAGCAAGTGGCCATCAGGACACTAACGACCTATTGTTAGGCTTATGGTCCTCCTTTATCATGTGAACAGCTAGTTCTGGATGTCACCAGCAAATTGGTTGATCCATTATGAGATGATGCTATTTATAAGACTGAGTTTAGTGCAGTGCCTCAGAGTGACAAAGTCTTTTGGACAAAAGACGAAACGTATCAACAAAAAAGAATCCGTCCAGAAGACCTGACTTAGGCCCCCTTTACACAGACACTGGCGGAGGAAACACAGAGTTTTTCACATGTTGATTCAAGGAAAAAAAATCCTTGTTGACAATGAAGCATTCTGTATTTACATGCAACTGGAGAAACCCCCCCCCCCCCCCCCCCAGTTTGCTGTAGTTGCTATGCCAGGTCATTAGTTGGCGCTGTGAGTTTTGTACATTCACCCAATGCGCATGTGTGCTGCCTGGGACTGCTGTCAGTAAGGACGTTCCTCTGGGTTTAAAGCCCAGATAAAAACAAAACTTAAAGCCGGATTTCGGATACTAGTCAACAGATTTGACGCCAAGCGGGACCACTTCATCTAATAAGTCTTTTAGTGTTTTAGCTAAGTGAACAACGAGCTCGCTGAGCAGACAAGAATGATGTTGGTCTTCCCACTCCCGCAGTTGCCGTTGAGCAATGCTACAGCAGGTAAATACACGTTCTTGATAAAGTTTGCTTGTGTTGTTTGGTTACACAACAACCAACTGAGTTTTTATTTTTCCTGAAAGGAGAAACTATCCTCCCACCAGAGGTTCCAAAAGGGAACATTGACTCGGTGGTGCAGGAGGACCTCAAAATCAAGAGAGATTCTGGAGCAACTATTCACTTAAAATTCCCCTCAGTTATTTTTTCCAATCCATTCAATGTTTTAAGCTGCATTAAGCAAACGAGTGGCAGCCTGTACAAGCAAGATAAACAACATGGCGCCAGTATCCAGGATGACAACAGAGAGGAAGAGTACAGTTCAGCTTAAATTTCGGTTAATTTGTTTTTAATAGTGCGCTCAGTTTCTTATCAATGTTTGTGTGACATACAGTTTTGTGGTGTTGAATAAATAAATAAAATTAAACCTGATGTCTTCATTTTTAACTTTAATAACATGCAATATGTTTCGCATCGTTTAAATCACATAACTTGAATTACATAATGTCCAGATAGCTTCATTTATCTCAGATAGCTTTATTTATCTCAGACAGCTTAATTTAGCTCAGATAGCTTCATTACATCTCCCACCACTAACAGAAACACGGTTTATTATTGTTACTGTTATTATTTAGCACATTTAGTATGTTAGAGTCCAGCGCAACACCTGCCTCTCTAGGTTCATTCAATATGTAGCGATTTCAAACTCGATCCAACTGGCGTCTCTTCCAACACAGATGTTTGTCACAGCAGCTACATTCTATTGTAGATTAATTACGAGACTCAAAATATATTCCATTTGTAGCACAGAAAGCCGTATGTTATATTCCGACGCCATTGTTGTTGATCGAAATATGTCGTCGGTCCACGTATGCGTGAAATATATTCCTGTAGTGCGCATGTGCTTTCACACTTATCAGTGCTTTTCAAACCTTGGCAGGGGGTTCCCCGAAAATGTCCACTCTGAGACCTGGGTTCAAAAACCTCTGGATTCAGCGAGGGCGGGGGCTGGTGTTGTGTAAATGAACAGCCGAATCGCAGAGAAAAAGTTGCAGTTTCACTCAAAATACGTGTTGTGTAAACGGCCCCTCAACCTTGTTAGATTCATCTTCCTGGTTTATTGGGCATGCATCAGGACACACTAATGGTTAGTTTGAACAGGGCCAAGACTAAACCCAATGAAATGCACCTAACTGAGCAAAACCTCTGTTCGAGAGGAACAGAAATTTGTAGAAACAAGCCACACCTCTTTCCATCAAAGTGCATCTTGCAGTTGAGCAGCGCTGGCTGGATGAGCTTCCCATTGGACAGCCAATCAACATCCACTTCCGAAGGCCCCAAAATGTGACACTCAAACATGGCCGATTCTCCGGCTTTTACCACCACGTCTTTCACCCCTCTGGTGATTTTAAGTCCTGTGTGTTCTGCCGCTGTTGATAAACAGTGAAGATTAACATATATTTTGTTATAAATCATCATAAGTGGTTTATGACTCACCTCTGACCTCCACTCTGCACTCCGCCTGCTTGGTTCCACTCTCGCTGATGAGCTTACAGGTATAAAGCCCCGCATCCGCCTTCTGAGCTGAGCCCACCCTTATTTCAAATAATCCATCTTCAAGCTCCCGCACGACGACACGCCCTGCTGTCCTCACTGTGACTCCGTCCTTCAGCCTGGGTCAAAAACAGCATGTCATGATAACTTACAGGCGGCTGTTTGGTCGGAATGAAAGCTCAATGTTTCACATAAAAAGGGTAAAATATAAAAATGAAAGATAATGTGTCCTACCACAACACCTTGGGTTTGGGCTGCCCTCTGACTTTTACTGCTAAGACAACATCTTGACCCTCAGGTACAGCCTGGTCACACGGCGCCACCTTCAATGGATCAAAACATGGTTATCTAAACATCTGCTTTGAAATTATTAATATCCTTGAATTTAAGCAAATAAGTGTCAAAATAAAAGCAAAAAAATAAAAAGGTGTAAAATAATTAAATGTGATTAAAATATCAAAAGTTAGTGAACAACTGAAAAAATAGTTTATCGGTATATACCTGTCTAAATAAAGGTCGAATGAATAAATTATATAGTATATATTTTATTAAAATACAAAAAAAGGGAAACAAAAAAACCCAACAACAAGCACAGCTAGTCTTCATGTGTAATTTGCGCATCCTTTTTATAATTTTACTGCTTTCAAACAGTCATGCAGCAACAACACGATAAAACCGCCACTGTATCAACAATTTCCTGCAGAATCAATACAGTTCTATTTTATCTTATCTTATCTTATCTTATGTTATATGCTTCATTTTGCATCAGATCATTTCCTTTGTAAAATGTGTTTATTTCTTTAGTTAAGTTATCAAAGTAGTTCACAGCATGATAACTCCATCACAGTGTTATGTTTTTTTTTTTAAAGTACTTCATTTTGCAATTTTGCATCAAGTCCGTCCTCTTTTTTTTTGTTGTTGCAAATTTTGAAGCTAATTTTCCAAAATTTGTTCATTTTATCATCGCTTTAAAAACATTTCACTGCAATCAGCTTTTTGAGATAACCCACAGCATGATACAAGCTCCACGATGTTTCACTGTCTGCATAATGCTGACCTCTGCTAAAACACACTCTGCCTGTAATACTGTATTGTAAATAGTCTGTCCTTATCAATGTCCAAAACATATTGAACATTATTATTGATATTGTTTCTCTTATTTCGTTATGTATTATTTTTAACATTTAGGAACTTTTATGTGAAATATTTTTATATTTTTATCTGTTGCTGCTGTTACACTTGAATTTCCCATCCGTGGGACAATAAAGGCTGTTTCTATTCTATTCTATTCTAATGCTGCTTTTAAAATGTTTCAATTTTATTTTGCATATATGCAAAATAATAATAATAATAATAATAATATTAATAATAAAACATGAGAGCAAAGATCCCTCCAGTATGAATGGAGCTTATCTATGTTTTGTTCTTTTGATGTAGGTGCAAAAAGCACATTGTTCCTGGTTTGTCCAGGTTTGTAGACATTTGACTGTCTGGTGTTAAAAGTGAGCTCATCCACATCATTAATGAAGGTTTACTTGTTCAACCCTGCTCCTTGAGGAACACCATGCTGCATGTTTTAGTTGTTTCCCTGCTTTGGCGCACCTGATTTAAATGATTGGTGATTAACAGGCTTCTACAGAACATGGGGAAGTAATTAAATCACTGAATCAGGTGTGTTGGAGCAAGAAAACAACTAAAACATGCAGGATGGTGTTCCACAAGAACCTGTGTTGGGAACCACTGGTCAGGTTTCTATTTATATTTACCTGGAATGAAGGAGGTTCTTTAAAGTAAACACTTGGCTTCAAATATGTTAAGTCTGCCACCTCCATGACCTCCTCCTGAGGGCTGCGATCTTCCTCATCTGATTGGACCGGACCACTGACTTCCAGGGATACAGACGGCTCTCTACAATGCGTGTGAGCTGGCTCTGAAACATCAGGTGATCAGTGAGAGGAATTAATTCAATTGTAATGCCATGGACGAACAGTGCTTACATTCATTTTAGTATTTTGTCCCAAATTTAAACCGTTCAGGTCGTATTTGGTACCTTTTGACTTTCTATAAAAGTGTACAACAGTAATGGACCATTCATTTGATCATTCTGTGTTTTCTTAATCTTTCCCGTACTTGTCCCATCTTATTTTTCAAGGTTTGTAAAGATGGTTTTAAACTGGACCTTTCAACATTATTGCTGCAATTACAGATGTGGAAATGACTCCTCCTATCGCTGATTTGTGGACTTGTTGCTGACGACAGCCTGGATCATCCGTTTTCTCTTTGGTCTAGCGCATATGCGTCAAACTCAAGGCCCGGGGGCCAAATGTGGCCCTCGTTGACATCTCATCTGGCCCCCCAAGATGTTATTTTAAATGTAAAATACTTTTATCACTTGAATGTTTTCAGTAATCTTTGATTATGATGTCAAAAGTGCAACAGAGAACGTCAAATGAGACCAATCAAACTCTTGTTGAGGAACCTGCAACAAAGAAAAGATGTTGGGTATCTAACTGGAGTTAATGTAGATTCTGAAACCGGCTCTTAGTTTGAAATAGGTTTTAATTTTGGCCCCCTTTTGTAAGTGAGTTTGACACCCCTGGTCTAGCGAGTAGGATGTCCATTCCTTCCAAAAAGGAAATAAATAAATAATAACCTAGAATATACATTTTTCTGAGAACAGTTTTGATTTTTAATTGTGTAATCATTTTCCCCAGAAGCTAAAAGCAGGAGATGAGTTTCTACCAAACAAACCATTTTTTTTATCAGGAAGGTAGAATCAAATGGGAACCAAGGCAGGGCTTGTACTTTGTAACATTTTCACTTCCTGTATCCAGACTGGTTTGCCATGAAGCTTTGCTTTATTAAATATGATCAAATCTATTCTTGCTTTTTCCACAACAGTCGCTCTCATGTAGCATCACCCTTGGTACACGCTTGCACTCCAACAAAAAGTGCTTTCCCCTTTATATATACCAGGAACAACCTCTGACTCATGGTGTCAGTTTACAACCAACAGAGACTTCAACATTAATGACAAACCAAGCCTGAACCAGACATTAACAAGAACAACCCATTTTCCACTGAGAAACTTTGTAAGAGTTGATAGGAGAAATCATATCGGGAGGACCGAGATGGGGTAGAGGCAGGGCAGCCGACTTGGGACCCAAAAATCCCAGACTCAATCCCCCGCCATTCCCATATGTCGTGGTGTCTCTGAGCAAGACACCTAATCCCTAATTGTTCCTGTTACTGTACATAGCTGCTCACTGTTCCACCTGGGTGTATCCCAGGTGCGATGAGTTAAATGCAGAGAACTATTGTCACCATTGTATGTTCCATACAATGGTATGGTGACAATGGTGACAACACATAGCACTTACTATATCTCTCCAGTTTTAGCTTCTCTCTATTGGCTTCTTGTCAAAATCAGAATTAAATTCAAAATCTTACTTCTAACCTACAAAGCTCTTAACAACCTAGCTCCATCTTATATTACAGATCGTATTGTTCCATATTTTCCTAACAGAGCACTTTGCTCTCAGACTGCAGGTTTACTTGTGGTTTCTAGAATTTCCAAAAGCAGAACGAGCGCAAGATCTTTCAGTTATCATTCTCCTCTCTTGTGGAACCAACTTCCAGTTTCTGTCCATAAGACTGACACATTTTCCAGTTTTAAGACTGGGCTCAAGACTTTCCTTTTTCATAAATCCTATAGTTAGGGTTGGCTTGAGTTTCCTGGACTATCCCTTAGTTATGCTGCTATAGGCATTGACAAACTAGGACAAACTGACCACATTTCTTCACTCTGCTACTGTCTTTACTTACTCTGCTCAACCTGTTTTGTATTTGTAATATTTTCTATCCTTGACATGTGTTTTTGTCTTTCTTCCAGTAGAAGGTACACCTGCATCTACATCTGGACCTGTCCTTCTGTGTTTGTTTGTTTCTCCTTCCTGTTCCTCTCAAACCCAGCCAGTTGAAGCAGATGGCCGCTTGTCAAAATTCAAAAGTCAAAGTTTCTTTATTTATCATTTGCACCACATGTGGTACATGTGGTGGAACAAAATTGTGTACTCAGGGTCCCAGTTACATCCAACAAAAGTAAAAATTGTACAGACAAACAATAATAAGATCTAAGATATGAACCAAGAAACACGCCAAACTAAGAATACACTAAGCACTAGTAGTACAAAATCAATACGCCGAACAACAGCAGCACGAACATGAGTCTGTGTGAGTAGATGAGTACGAATAATAGGTCCTGAGCCTGGTTCTGCTGGAGGTTTCTTACTGTTAAAAAGAAGTTTTTCCTTTCCACTGTTGCCTTTGTGCTTGCTCAATTCAATTTCAATTCAGTTTATTTATATAGCGCCAAATCACAACAAAGTTGTCTCAGGGCACTTTACACAAATATTCACATACATAGAAAAGCCAATTAGTAAAGTTCTCTATCTAAGGAATCCAGCAGACAAGTTGAATCTTGGCTTCGTTGCAGTCTCCCATCCTGAGCAAGCACAGTGGCAACAGTGGAAAGGAAAAACTCTCTTTTAACAGGAAGAAACCTCCAGCAGAACCAGACTCAGGACAAGTGTCCATCTGCTTTGACCGGCTGGTTTGAGAGGACAGGAAGGAGAGACAGACGAACATAGAATGGTAGATCCAAATATAGGTCCAGGTGTATCTGAAAGACAAAAACACATGTTAAGGATAGAGAAAAATAATTACAAATACAAAACAGGTTGAGCAGAGTAAGTAAAGACAGTAGCAAAGTGAAAAGTGTGGTCAGTTTGTCTTCCAGCAGTCTAAGCCTATAGCAGCATAACTAAGGGACAGCTCAGGAAACCCAAGACGACCCTAACTATAGGATTTAGCAAAAAGGAAAGTCTTAAGCCTAGTTTTAAAACTGGATAATGTGTCAGCCTCACAGACAGGGATTGGAAGTTGGTTCCACAAGAGAGGAGCCTGATAAACGATGGGAGACTGCGACGAAGTGAAGATTCAGCATGTCTGCTGGATCCCTTAGATAGAGAACTTTACTAATTGGTTTTTCTATGTATGTGAATGTTCCTGTTCAGTGCCCTGAGACAACTTTGTTGTGATTTGTTGCTATATAAATAAAGTGAACTGAACTGAATTAAACAGCCAGAAACACTGCACCCATAATTGCCACAAGGCTACCCAGCATGCTTTGCAGCTCACAGGCTGTGCGCTCCCATGACGGAGCTCTCTCTCAAGGACCAGAAGTCTGATTGCTCTCAAGTTGGTCATGTCTATATGATGACAATGCTACAAATACATTAACATTTAATACAGAGTCAGATTTTAGATACAAAAGTCCTGGGGAGGTCGGGGGAGCAGTAAGGCGGGTCCGTCTACAAGAGCAGGATCAGTGGTGGCTGCGCGCACGCATGGTTTTGTTTTCAGTTTGTCTGCTTGGAGCGCTGTGAGACGGTAAGGGCTCGGTTAGGAACAAGGCTTGCACCCGGGCAATGTGGTGTTGAAGTGTTGTGGTGGCGATGGTAAAAGAAGAGAAAAAATAATCCACCCGTTCTCCATCTCAGAGCAGCATCCAACTCTTACAACGATGATGAACGGTCTGAATCCCGTCAAATCTTCAACATCTGTGGACTTTCTTGTTATTTTCCATTTATTAATAATTCCTTGCAGGTACAGAGACTCACATATTCAGGTGGATCCATCTCCGAGCCTTCTGGCGTGAAACTTTGGACAGTAGAAAACCTTCACAACCACCGCAGGGATCTCACACAAACAGAAATCACCCGAGTGGCTAAAAATACTCCTGCAAGTCAGATTCTGCAGGCCTAATATGGCAGTTTGAAGCTCCGAGGAGCACATGCTAAACTTTTGTTGACAAAGCCATGTGAGAGCACGTTGTACTCACACATGAGCTGAACCAACTCGTACCTGGAGCAATGCAAGCTTTTCTCCACAAGCCAAGGCATTTTTTAACACAAACTTTCTTCCTGGAGGGACTTATTTTGTGCCCTCTGAATGCCAAGGCTGCCTTTGAGCCTCGGGAGACCTTTTGTGTTGACAGGGTGGGTTTTAAATTCTCACCAGGAGGTGGCCTCCAAGAATTAATGGGTTGTCATGGCAACTGTTGCTGCCAGCATCCCTGGATGGGATGTTTTGTGGAGTCAGATGTAGGAGGGCTGAAGTGGATTAAATAAGAAACATTTTGTTTTCACAATGATGATCCATGTCCCAGTCAATAAATAAAAAAAATTACCAGCCTCCAGTTTTGTGTGTGTGTTTGTGACCCTCCACCATTCTGACCCTTAATATGTATTCTTGACAGTTGTCTTACTTTCTCTTTTCTTTTGTGTTTTACGCTTTTATCTCCATCTTAGCATATGGAGGATATACCTGGAAGATATATCCTCCACATTTGTTTACATACAGACTACAGCCAGCAGCTAGCATCGTACTGATTCTTTAGTTGATCTACTTTCAGTATGTTGTTTCCATTCCTTATGTGCCAAAAAATATTTTAAAAAGTTTTGTTATTATTTTGTTTCTTAACACAAACAAAAACTAAGCAGAATGCATACTTTCAAACACTCATTCTACATTCTGTATTGGTATAATGTATATATATATATATACATATATACGTATATATATATTTATATATACGTATATATATATATATACATATATATATATATATATATATATATGTAGGATCGCTTGAATGCTGAGCAGAACTCCTCCCAGAGTGATGGCCACTCCTCCCAGCAGTCCGCCAAGCTCCTCATAGCTGTGGACAGCCAACTGTAGGTGCTGAGGGACCATCCTGTCCTTCCAATGTCATGAGCCGTGTTTCCTGCTAGTTCCAGGATCTCAGTGGTCATGCACTCGAGCACAGCTGGCAGGTAGATGAGAATGCGTCCACAGAACATCCTTTTCAACTCACTTGAGATTTGGGGCTGTAGTTGAGATATTATTTGAGCTTTTGAGATGTTATTCAGCTGCTGTTGTTGTAGAAAACTGCCTTGTTGCCATGGTTATGCATCATAACAAATGTCCAAAACCAAAAAAGTCTCAGTAAAAATACTCCCAGCTGCACAGCATCTGATCCCAGAGGAAACAATCATCCAAAAAATGTGATTTACATCCAGAAAAAG